CACTGATCAAAGTTAGTGAAATCCCTGTTCCAGAGCAGACTCTTCAGCTGACCTCCAGCTCTCAGAATCTGCACCCCTCAAGTGGCTGGTGGCTGCAGAGGTGCTGGGAGATGTACTGTGAGTAATCACTGCTCCTGCATTCCCCAGGCATTCGTTTTGGACATCTCTTGGGAAAATGACATGAGTCTGGGTGGCCCTTGGTCAGATGCCCTGCAGCAGGGCTCCTTCAAGCAGATGTCACAGGGAAACTGTTCTCAAGAAACCTTTTTACAGGCAGCAGGAGGGATAACCACTGTCCTTTAACCAACTGTCCTCTGTCATCTTGAAAATCCTCAGCTTACCTTCAGACTTGGTCAAATTAGGCATTTGGCCTGCTTTCCCTGCACAAGGGCAAGAAAAATTAACTAAAAGGTCCGAAATGATGTGACCTTTCATAATTTAAACATGTTTTTTCCCATTAAGCAATGAAAGCAGCAGAGATGCTATTCTCAAAAGTACCTCAAGACAATTATCTCCTTCCTCTGGAATAAATGGTGGGAAGCAAGAGGTGAGCTGGAGATATGGCATTTGCAATTCTCCATTTTCCATCTGCAGCGGGAAGAAATGTTGATTTGCATTGTGCTCTGACACAACTGCTTGACCTCAGTGCAGCTTATGCTAATTACTTGCAAGAAAATGTTGTCTGCTCCATGTGTGCCCAGCATATTTCTGGTATCTGAGCCTGATAGATGAAATATTGCTTACAGCGCAGTGCAGATGGGGAGCGCTGAACCAATGGCCAAGTAATCCAAGCAAACAGAAACACTGATAAAAGAGGGCCTGATAAGTTTCCCATTAATATTACCTGGGTATTTTTATACCAACTCACTCCCTTTCTGCTTACTAAGCAGTAATTGCTCAGGCTGACACAGAAAATAGAGAGAGGATCCATCCCTTTGCCCAAAGCAAGGACAACTCTCCTTTCCTTGCTCATCTAACTCGGCCTAAAAGGAAATCTCTCTCCTGGTCTCAGCAGCTTTACAATGTTAAAGTTTTCCTGCTACCTTTGGGAGCATTTGTGTAGCTGTACACTGTCTGGGTATGCTCAGAGGGTGTATATTTCAATTAAACATGCTCATCCATGAAGAAGCTGGATTCCTGCTGCTACTGTTCAACAGATGCATCAGTCTGGCCCCAGGATTTATCTGTGCATGCATTGCCATTGGAACATTTTGTGTGTGTTCTCTGCTCTGGTTGCTCCTCCAAGGGGCTGGGAACAGAATCTGGCTGGCTCCCACTTTGCCTGGCTGGGACACAGACCTGAAGGATCAAAAGTGTTGATCAGCTTGACTCCACCCCGCTGACACAACCTCCTCAAGATCCATTCTGTGTTGCACTCAAAAAACAGTGCCTTGAGATTGGCTTTATTGCACTGTGCCCAAAACTCAGGTGAGAAACAGGGGGAGAAGCAGGAGGAACAGCTGAGTGGCCAGAGCTGCAATTTCTTCTGCACCATCAGGAGAAAGGGGAACATTTTCTCTTCTCAACCTGCAGAATCCATCCCAGAGAAGCCATCCCTTGTTTGCACAGATATTCTGGAAGCATAAAGCTCTTGTTATTCAGTGCACAGGCCTCCAGTTACAGCAGAGCCTTCCTGAGCCTGCTGAAGTTCTACATAAGCACACGAGACATGCTGAGAAATGGGCTTAGGTTTAAACGTGTATTTAATATTAAATGAAGGCTTAAGAGCTTTGCTGCCAGGAGCAGGGAAGGATGTTTTGTTTGCAGTGTGCCTTGTCCTGTGTGGGAAGACATTGCTTGTCTGCTGCTGAGCTCCAAAGAGCCTTTCTGCCATTTCAGGGGGCTGATTTGAAGCAACTGACACCAAGATTTAAGACCTTGTGGCAGATTTTTTTTTTCCTTTTTAAATAGTATATGTCTTTTCTCTTGGAAATCTGGCACCTGAAATACCAGCAAGCAATCTCCAGCCTTACCCAAAGGGACTGCTTTTTGTTGGGAACCCAGCATTCCGGACAGAAACAAGCATCAATCCTTGCACTCAGCATCTCCTCGTGCTCTGTGCACTGCAGCCTGGCAGGGGGCTGGGGTCTGCCTTTAATGGGTTCAAACACCCTGGCCATACGTCAAAGATAACCACAGCAAAGCATCTCTGAAGCCCCAGATGTTTTGTTTCTCCAGGCTTTGTGGAGCCCTGTCTGCAGGGTGGGACCAGGGCAGGCAGAGGAGAAATCAGGAGGAAATCAAATTACTGTCAATAAGCATGGAGAGCTTCTCCCTTGAGGGATTTACAGGCAGCTAAGAGAAGAAACGGGTGGAAAACTGAGAGATGACCTTGTCCTTCAATCTGAGCATGGGATCAAAGCCCAACCAAAGATGGAGTGGCTCTGTCATTGATTTCCATTTGTTTTTCCATCCTTCCCTCCTCTGTCAGATACTGATCTCTCACATGATTCATGGGAGGAAGCAATCCCCTCCAAATCCTCTGCAGGGAAATTGAGAGCAGCCCCTAGAAGTTCATGTGTAGATCTACATGCCCTTTTCATAGCTTTCCTTACTTGTTCAGCCTTTCAGAGACTGGAGCAAGAAAATACCATAACTGATGGAGATTGGAAAGGAAATCCATCCAAATTATGTCCAAGCTGCCCTGGGGAGCAGCCCTGCAGCTGCCTGAGGAAGGACCGTGTGTTCAAACACCACCCTCAGGCCAGGCTGTAACTTCCTCCACATCTCAGAAGGTTCTCAGAGCCTCAGAGAAGCCACCACATCCTGGTGACCTCGGGGAGGCTCTGCCTTACCCTGCAGCTCCCGGTGAAGGCTCCGTGCCGGAGATCTGTGGGTCATGGTCGCCCTCTAAAGGGAAGAGTTGAGAAAATTCCATTAATTCCCACCCAGGCAAAGCTGCGGAGAATTAGGAAAGCGTGGGCATGGGCGAGGCAAGGGCCATCCCTCTTCACCCAGAGTCTTTGTTCTGACTCCAAGATATCCTTGGAAACATTATCCGTGCACTGCAAACATGAATTATTACATCAAATCCAATGCTCACTTAGCTTACGCTGTTCTCCTGAGTTTTAATTGTTGAGTCCATTCATTATTTGGTACCTGGCAGAGCTTATCCTTTTATAGGCACACATGGGCTCTGTGGGCTGAGCAGCTTCCACCCAAAAATCAAGATAGTGGCAAATCCCTCAGCACATCCACGTTACATCTCCTCTCCTTCTGGGATCTGAACTCTGCTTAAGGGGGATTTTAGTTTTATTTTTTAAAACTTGCCTCCCTTGGGGCCTTGAAGGGCTAATTCTCATTGAATTAGATGGGTTATATTTGCTTTTTTAGGAAGCTGAAGGCAGCCAGGCAGGTTGCCAGCCAAATCTTCACGGAGCAAAGGCTGCTTCAACGAAGGCTGTGTTAATTACTGCTGATCTCTACCATCATCTGCCTTCCTGCCAGGCCAAACACTCAATCCACAGCTCCTGTGGGGCAGGGAGAGTCCTGCGTGCTCATATCAGAGCCCAGGGCTCTCTGCAGGCTGCTCTTCCCAGCCAGGACAGCATTTGGGGTTTCATTTTTTGGGGAACACCACAGCCAGCTGCTGGTGCTGGGAGCAGCTTATTTATTTATAACAGCATGTTGGTATCTCCCTACAGTTCTTGCAATTTTTTTTTTTAAGCCTCCTGCAACCTGTTGACTGTTGCCACATTTCTCTTCACAGATAAAAGCAAAGCACAATTCTTCTCAAGGATTTCTGAGATTCCCATTCTCTGAACCTCAGAGAAAGGGAAAAACACAATTCTTATCACTTGCTGTGCCTGAGTTGTGCCAAAGCAGAATGCAATATGGAGATTGTTTATCCAAAGTGAGGATGTTTTGTTTCCTTGGCCTGTCAGGGCCAGGAGTGTGTGTGTGTGTATTGTTGGGTGAGAATCACAAGATTCAGTGCAGCGTGAGCAGATGTGTGCGGAGTGCGTGCTTGGCAGATTTAGTTTAGATGAAATATAAATAGTATAGTATAATAAAGTAATTAATTCGCTTTCTGATATCAATAGAATCAGATGTATCATTCTCTCCCCTTCGTCGGAGTCACCTTTGATTTACAATAGTTGACTTTTTGAAATAAACTTTAAGAAACAGCATGGGCCATTCAGGAGGGCAAAGGCAATGTGGGAATTTGGGTGAGCACACCTCTGATCTAAACCCCCCAGGGGACCAGGAATCCTGCACTTCCCAGACGTTTCAGGGGTGGCACTGGGGTTGGCATCTGTGCTCACACTTTGCTGTTTTCAGATTCTGGTTTGTTGTCTCTCCATTCCCATTCACATGAGCCCTTTATCACAAGGATGGATAAACCTTTGGGGCAGAATGTAGATATTAGCAGTTCTTATGCTTCTTCTCCTTGGTTCTGTTTGTACTTTGTTCATGTTCACACTGACTTCATATACGAGCTAAATAGAGTCATCCATAGTTTCATATATTTTATAATTTTATTTATAGTTTCATGTATAAGCGAAATAGGATCCTGTGGATTGCACATGAGGTTTTAACAGCAAAGGGCAATCAAAGAACATCCTGGAATCATTGCACATTCAAAGTGTGGCACATACATTTACTAACTAATCTCTGACTAATCCCTGATTTCCAGCTAATTAGCCCCTTCCTCCATGAGCTGATGCATGTTCAGTGTTTTGAAGCATTTGGCCGACTAAGAACAATTGCACGTGTGTCCCTAATGAACAGGAGACATGAATTAATAAATAATTAGTAAATCCCATTAAGGAGTGGGATGAGGGGGGGCAGGAGCGCGCTTTACTCCTGAGGGACGGGACTACACTTCCCGTCAGCCCCCGCGCTCATCAGGGGGCCGGACTACAGTTCCCATGCGCCTTCACGGACCAGGACTACATCTCCCATGAGCCCCCGCGGCCGCCCCTCTCCCCGCGATCCCTGAGCCAACATGGCGGCGAAACTGCGTGTGGTGAGTGGGCCCGGCCGCCATCGGCCGCCATCCGCGGGCACGGCGACCTCGAGGGGCGCGGGGGCGGCCGGATGGTGTGCGGGGAACTCCCGCACGCTGTCGGAACCGCCCGTACGGTTGAGGCGAGGGCTCGAGGGCTGCATGGGGAGGCGGGATAGCGGCCCCTCTCCCCGCCATGGTGGACGGAGAGAGCAAGGCCAGGGGGCTCCGGCCCTGCCGTGACGGGGCTGCGCCAGGAGCCGCGGGCTGGCCGAGCCATGCTCAGCGTTTTATGGGCAGCGGGTTCGGCTCAGCCGGGGCTGTGTCCCGGCACCCCGAGGCGGGTTCAGCGGGCCGGGGAGCCGCCTGTACCGCGGGCATCGGTGCTGCCCGGCTGGGGAGCGTGACAGCCACGAGGGCAAGAGCAGATCTGCGATTTGGGATGGCCCTCTATTCTTTAGCTGTGCTGGAAGCTGAGCTAGTGATGATGATAAAAGTTATCCCTGTCTGAATTTGATCTTTCCTCTGTGGAAGTGTAAACTCTGAGGCTCAGTGTTGGAGACACAAAGCTAAAGGAGTGATTTGGTACCTGAACTAACTCTGTCCCCTTTCTCAGTTTCAGAGCATGACACCGTGTCAAGAAGGGGTGAAAACTCTTCCCTGGCTGGGGAGCTGATTTACCCACAGTGCACCTTCACAATGGTGAGAAACAGCAGCATCTGTCTTGGCATAGGCTGGTTTTCTTTTTCTCCTCTAGGGGGGTGATGGAAGAAAGACTCTCTCTGCTGTCTCAAATTATACCCTCCTGAATTCCTGGGGCTCCTGGGAGGGGATATAAAAGCCCAACAGCTTGATGAATGTAATTAAGCCAATAAAGGCTGTAGCTTTGTCACAGCTGCCACCTGAGTGTGCTGCCCTTTGCTGGCACAGAGCACAAGCTGAAAAGCAGCATGGATTGAATGGGAATTTTACTGGTGTTGCTGCCCAGCAGAGCACCTGCTTGTCAGCATGGTCAGAGATGAGCCAGAGTAGAAGGATGAGAGGTAGGAGGGATTGGGTGACAGCCCATTATGGAGACACTTGACACAGCTCATCTCATAACTGTATCTGTCACAAAAATAGACCTAGTGACAGAATAATTGCTCTGTTTGCCTGCCTGGAGGTGCTCTGGGACAGTTTCAAACTTGCATCAGGTTGCTGGGGCTGGGGAGGGGCAGCTCACCTGCCCCAAAGGGTCACCCTGTGAAGGACACACCCTGAGGAAGCTTTCACCTGGGGGGAAGTGCCTGTCCTAGGTCTGATTAATGCATTTCTGGAGATAAACCCATAGACCAATTACACCATGGATGGATGGGTTATTCTTGTGTGCAGGGAACAAGTTGGGCTGGGAAGTTTCTGGAAGATGAGGAGACTGTCAGGTTGAAACAGCTTAAAAAGTTCCAAACCACCAACGTCTCGGAGCTTCCCTAAGCAAGGATTTAAACAGCATCCACCTCCCAAAGCTTCTTGTCTGTGAAGGAGACAGCCCCCTGGCAAACATCCTCCTCTGTGTCTTGAGGGACAGGTTTCTGCTCTGCTAAGTTTGTGACACAAAAGTTTCCTGTCTTTGAATGGAAAATTTCTGTCTAATTCTTGCTCTGTGATCCAGTGCTGGGGTTTTTTTACTCAGGAAAGGTGAGGAAAAGAAAACTGACTTTATTTAAATTACTTTTGCTGACAGTGTTCATTGCAACTTGTATGTAGGAGGAAATGGTCCTGCAGAATCCTGGGGCTGCTGTTGCCCAAGGACAGCTTTGGTCAGAGGGCAGCTGCTGTGTTTGGCTTCAGGCTGGTAAGAGAATTGAATTCTTCAGTGTTGTGTGTTGTTTATTTTTAATTCATTAATTACATGCCAGGCCTGCAGAGCCTAATCTCTGAAGAAAAAATCCCAGGGAGAACAGCTGTGTATCTGCAGTGTGTGTGTGGTTTTGGGGAACATGAGGGGTTTGTGCAGCCAGGGCTGGGACAGACACTGAGCCTGTGATGTGCTGTTATCCCTGTCTGACACTCAGCTTGAGGAGGAAAATGTCCACTGAGGCTCACATGCTTCCCTTAGTGGGTGCCCTGTCCCTTGCAAAGAGTCCACAGGTGTGAGTGGCACCAGTGTGACACAGTCTGTCCCCTGTAGGTGTGAGTGGCACCAGAGTGACACAGTCTGTCCCCTGTAGGTGTGAGAGTGGCACCATAGTGACACAGTTTGTCCCCTGTCAGTGTGTGTGGTACCAGTGTGACACAATCTGTCCCCTGTAGGTGTGAGTGGCACCAGTGTGACACAGTCTGTCCCCCTGTAGGTGTGAGTGGCACCAGTGTGACACAATCTGTCCCCTGTAGGTGTGAGTGGCACCAGAGTGACACAGTCTGTCCCCTGTAGGTGTGAGTGGCACCATAGTGACACAGTTTGTCCCCTGTCAATGTGTGTGGTACCAGTGTGACACAATCTGTCCCTTGTAGGTGTGAGTGGTACCAGTGTGACACAGTGTCCCCTATAGGTGTGAGTGGCACCAGAGTGACACAATCTGTCCCCTGTAGGTGTGAGTGGCACCAGAGTGGCACAGTCTGTCCCCTGTAGGTGTGTGGCACCAGAGTGACACAGTTTGTCCCCTGTCCTGCCACCCTGGGCCGTGTGGCAGCTCCAGGTGCAGTCCCAGGCACAGCTGCAGAGCTGCTGTTGTCATGGCACAGTTTAGAGCTGCGAAAAGCTTTCAAGTTCCTTGTGCAAACATTGAGAAGTTGAAGGGCAGATAAGAAAGGCATTTTTTATCTCCCCTGCTGTACAGTCACTGAACACACAGGCTGGAACAGCACTTTGTCTTGGGCAGCTGACAGCTGCCTTCTGCTAAATGATTTTATGCTTTATTGAGCAGAATTTGGTTTTGTTTGCAGAAGGTCAATAACAGCTTCTGACAGGCCGGCAGGGCTGGTGACAGGGATGTCATTGGGACTGTGAAAAGGGAGGGAATGGCACCACAAATCAGGCATTGGGGTGCTCTGACAGCACAGCTGGCTCCCAGACAGCATCAGGCACTGGGACAAGCACCTGGAGCTTTTGACTTCCAAAGGAAAAGAAAGTGGAGAGGCAGCCTGAGGATAAATGGGACAAGTAAAAGCTACTCAGTGCTTTGAGATCAGAAGGGCAGGGATTGTTTCAGAATGGACTTTTTTAGGAAAACAGTTACAGCCTTGGTTTGTGGTTTCTTACAGATCTAGAAGGCAGACTGTTCTGGACTGGATGTCACAAATGACTGCTGATATGTCGTGAAATGGCCACTTGTGTGTAGCCACAGGCTCCTCCCAACTGCTCAGTGGTTGCTGCAGCCACACCATGGGTAAGGGACCACTAAAACCAAAAAGGATTTGGGTACTGATGCCATTGGCCTGGCTAGGAGCAAAGTTTTGTCTCCTGAGACCTGTACTCCAGATTAAATAGTGCAAATCAGGAACTTTTCAGCTGCTCTGATAATGTTTCTTGGTTTTTTTTTCACCAGGACCTGATCTACAGTTGGCTGGAGGAAAAAGTAGTTCCCTGCTTTCTTCTGTTCCAGAATAAAATAAGTTGTGGAAAATCTTACGAGTAAAAGTTGGGTTTTATTTGGTTATTTCTGTAAAGGTTGGAGTCCATGCTCTTAAAGGTGTTTTCTAACTGTAATGATTCTGATTCTTCTTGGACAGAAATGGTTTTATGCAGGTATGAAGGATTTTGGATGAAAACCCTTCCTGAAATGGCAGTTGTGAGTTTACCTTTCATAGCAAACCTGATAACTCAGACTTCAGTGTCTGCAGATTCTGTCCCAGAAGTGTTCATGGGACCAGTGTGACAAAACTAACCTATGGCCAAGGTCTGGTTCCAAATGGTTCTTGTGGTGTGCTTGGGAATACAGCCATGAACAAGTCCTTAAAATGGAGTTAACTCCAGCTCCACCCTTGCCTGGGAATGTCCCTTTTTGAGAGAGGAAAGGAAAGTGCTCATTGTGGTTCCCAGTGTTTGGTTCCTGGTGTGCCTGTGAGCTGGATGATTCCAGGCAGGACTGCAGCACCGCGACAGCACCGTCCTGGAGTGTCACCGTGCTGCTGATGTCACCTGAGGCCTGGCCAGGGCTGGTTTGAGGAGGTTTCAGGGTGTCTTGGCCAGGAGATGTGAGGATCAGGCTCATTCCTGTCATGAAAGGTTTTGCTGAGTGTTTGGGAACACAGAACAGGCCTGACAGGCTGCTGTGGTACCAGTGCAGGGTGGCTCTGATGGGAACAAAGGTTAATTTGAGACGTGGGAACACAAGATGGGCCCCAGGCTACAGATTACATCTGGAACAGGCTTGGACTCTAATCTGAGTCTGTGAACCAGCTGGAAGCAGCCTGCTGGAGCTTCAGGGGGTTTGGAGGTTCCCTGGCTCAGGGCCAGGCTATCTTTTGCCATCTCTCTTTTGCCATCTTTTGCCATTTACTGCACCAACCTTGTACAGTAAATAGCATTCCAAGTGGAAAAGGGCTGTGCTAAGAGCTAAAAGTCTTGAGTCTTCATGATTTAAACTGGTTTCCATCCCTATCTGCCTTTGAATGAGTTGAAGTCTCTACTCCCTGTTACTGCTCCTCTGCTGTGGGAGGTAAAGGAGGGGGTCTCACCCCACTCAGTTCATCAAAGCAACAAAAACAGGGGTTAGGGAAAACAATCATTCAACATTTATGTAATTACACAAAGTGGGAAAGTGTCTTGGGTTACACTGCTCTGTCTCCAGCCCCCACCAGCTGGAGAAGCCTCCCCAGGTGGGTCTCCCTGAGCAGTGCTGGTGTTTGAGGGACAGCTGAAGGGTTCAGGACCCTCCCTTCCCTTGGGGTTTGGGGAAGGAAATTAAGAGTGACCATCACTTTGACCCACCTGGTGTGGGGCTGCCTCTCAGAGGCACCACGCAGTCCCTGTGCAAGAAAAGGTGACAAAGCCAGTGCCACACACACATGGCCCAGGCCAGTGTCACCTCTGGGCTGCTCAGAGCCTGGACGTGATCCTGGTGTCCTGGCTGAGCTGCTGTGACCCTCCTTGGAGCTGATGGCTTTTGAGCCCCTTCCTTGTCTGAAAACACCAGACCTCAAGAAGGGGACAGTGACAGGGCCCTCTGTGTCCGTCCTGCTCTCTGTGCCACTGACCAGGGAGGCAGACAGATCCTTCTGGAACGTGGCACACATCCACACACAGCTGGGACTTTGCAGTCTTTCTGGAGAGAGGTGTTCCCCAGACATGTCACCTCTTGTCAGCTGAGCTCCAGTGCAAGGATTTCTGCCTGCTGCAGTCCCACCATGGTGATGAGCATTTAAGGTGAAGGGCATTTTCCAGCATCCTCTTCAGCATCACCCTGCCCCTCCTGTGCTCCACAGGGGCCACTGCTGCCCCAAAGCCACGTTCATGGGGCTGGCAGGGCACAGCCACGTGCTGTGGTGCTTCTGGCTGCTCCAAAGGCCACGTTCCATCACACTGATCCCCGAGGAGATGCAACATTCCTCCACCAGCACCAGCTTCCCCGTTATCCTCACATCACTGCTGGCTGTGGTGCAGCAAGCCTGCTCTGTGGGCTGGCTGGCCAGCTGGGGAGAGCCCTCAGGAGGGAGAAGGTGACCCTCAAGAGAAAGGAGAAGAGCCACAAGAGTCCTTGGACCTGGCCCTGTGGGCAACTCCTGGCCTCAGCGCTGGTAGAGGGTGATGATCCCTGCACGGTGCAGGCTCCTCCAGAGCGCTGCCTCCAGCATCATGTCATGGTTGGCATAAAACACCAGAGGTTTCTTCTCCACCTCGTAGTAGTGGTCTGAGAACTGCTCGTAGTTGGCTGTGATGAACCCATAGGCACTGACCTGTGGGGAAGGAGGTGGGGCAAACACAGGAAGGATCAAGGCTTCACCTCGGGTCGTCCATCACCACCAGCACTTCCTTCAGGCACAGGGGACTTGTAGGACAGCCATCACAGCAGCCAAGGGGGGGATTCCCCTCTCCCCAGGGGAACAGTGGCCCTGTGGCCCCTTACCTGGTCGCAGGTGTGGAGCGCGGTGAGGAGCATGAGGGCGCCGGTGCTGGGCATGTACAGGGAGCTGTACTGGCTGTTGAGCAGCTCTGAGCGCAGGAACCTGGCACAGGGGGACACGGTGGCTGTGGGGATGGCACAGCCCTGCAGCCCCCACAGCCAGCCAGCCCTCTCCAGTGACACCAGTGCCCAGTGAGGCAGGAGCAATGAACAAGGACTCAGGTAGGCTCTCTGATGGCTGCTCTCATTTGCTCAGAGGTTGGTAAAAGGCACCTCTCTGCTGTTTGGAGCCACCCCAATCTGGGCATCTGCTTTCATGAAAGGCAGGAAGAGACCATCCTGTTGAGCCCTACCTTTGCTCCTGTTAGACTGGGACAAAATGTAATTTGTTTTGGGGAAACAGACCAAGGTGTGCATGGGGAGGTGTAGGAGGAGATGTGAGCTGTGCTGCAGTGAACAGGAATGGCAGGAGACTCCTCTGCCCTGTGTGCAAACAGCAGGGCAGGGTGGTTCCAGTGTCTGGGGGAGACTGGGACTGCACTCTGGTGCTGGGCAGCTACTGGTCTGTACTGGAATGAGCAGAGGGGGAAGCAGATGGTCTGAGCCCAGCCCAGAGCAGAGCCAGACAGCAGCCACAGTGCTCATCACCCTCACCTTGCTGTCAGGTACTGCAGGAAATCAGGATGCAGCAGCTTGAACTTCTCTGCAGATGCCTCCGGTCCAAAATACTTCTGTGGGCTGCAGCAAGGCAAGGAGAAGGGCAGAACTTTGTCATGGGAGTCCAGGAGCTCCTTGGGGTTTATCCCAGGAGGGACAGATGTGGGGAGAGGACAGGCAAGTCATGCCTGCATCACTGGGGGTGCTGGGGGGATCTTTGGGAGGTACTCACTCGTCCCCCTTGTCCGAGCCCTCGGGCACTGGGCTGCCCTGGATGGCCGATTTCAGCATGATGTAGTCCCGGATATCCGAGGGGATGAAGATGTACTTCAGGTCCTGCAGCAGAGACACACACAGGGCACTTGGAGGGGGGGTTAGGGACACGGCCCATGCTTGAGGGCTCCCAAGATGGGGGGAAGGTGTTTCAGATTGCAAGGTAAGACGTTTTCCATTACCATCTGTATGGCAGTTGTCTTTTGCCAAGTGGGCAGTTTGCCTTATCTCTCTGAGTGACCACAATCACTCCTCCCTTGGGAGGGGACATTGCTGATAACAGCTATTGAATGTCCCTGCATGGCTGATAAGAACTACAGCATCCCATTGGGAGATGTGAGCCCAGAGGGAGGAGCCAAGCATTCCTACCTGGGTATAATCTGGAGATTCTGGAACACCAGCACAGCTTCTGCACTGGATTCCCCAGAGGAACAGCAGCTGCCTCTTCTTCCCCTGGATCTTCAGAGGAAGAATACATCCTTCTCTACAGGATCCCTGCTCCAGCAGAACCACCCCTGACACTGCAGGAGGGCTGAGCCACAATTCCAATGGGACTGCTGCCAACACCCTGACCCACAGGGTGTCAGGTTGGGTTCTGACTCTGTCAGTGTTGTTCTAGTGTACTGCATTGTTTATTTTATCCTTTTATTTTCTTCCCTATTAAAGAACTGTTATTTCCTGCTCCCATAATTTTTGTTGCCTGAGAGTCCCTTAATTTCAAATTTATAGCAATTCAGAGGAGGGGGGGTTCATTTTCTCCATTTCAGGGGATGCTCCTGCCTTCCTTAGCAGACACCTGTCTTTCCAATCCAAGACAGAAGGTCTCAGGAAGCAAGCCCAACCTGAAGGGACAACTTGATTCAAGTCCCCAACAAGCCCTCAGGGTCTCACCTTGCCCTGGGGGACCTGGGTGAAGCCATACTCCTCGTAGGAGATGAGGGAGTTCTTCATGGTGTTCACCGTGAAGCCGTAGAAGGAGACCTTGGTGCCCACATCCTCCTCAAAGCCCTTGATCACGGCACCATTGAGCCTGCAGTAAAAGCAGAGAACACATGTCCAGGGCTGGCATCTCACAATGGGCACTCATCCATTGTTATGAATAGCAAAAGTTGTCCATTTTTTTACAGGGTGCAGAGTTCACAGGTTGGGCTAGTTGCTGCCAGGGTGGAGTTCTGACTGTTATTGCAATCACCTGTCATTTTCGTTAACTACCTGTCATTGATAGTTAAGAATTCCCCCTTTTGTCAAGTGGCACCCTACTGCTTCCTGGAGGATGGCACCAGGATGGTGAAGAGGAGGAGACCTTGGAGTTAGCATGCAAATGACCTCAGAACCAGCCTGCAACAGGAGAAGTCCCTCACCAAACCTAGCCAAAAACCCCTAAAAACAATGAGCTAACATGAAATAGATGTGATGCCTAGATGTGAGGAACAGAATCTAGTATCTGCTAGGACCCTTTCACCCCTCACCCTAACGTTAAAGGATGTCAGCTAGACAAATGACCTCAAATGTTAAACCAGAAAATTAAGGGAATCTCCTGGTGCTCATGTGAGGATGGAATTCCCAGCTCTGCCCACAGACCAAAGGAAAAACTCTTCCTCTACCTCCAAGCCACTCCTGGGGCCGCAGCGGTGTG